GAATTGCCTAGACCGGTGATGTAAATCGAGAGCCCGTCCGAAGATAACTTTTTGAATCGATTTTACATTTCTGACTGTGGCAGTGGACTGGGCAGTGTCTTGAGACATGGCGAGGCACAAATCTGACGGCATCTTGCACCTCGAGAGCACGCCGTGGTCCTTTAAGGGCGCTAGGCATAGCTAAGTCAGCTCCTTCAGCCTTGAGTTCCATGGAACTTTCACTGATTGCAACTCAGGCAGGGCACCTGAGAGTATTCGTGATTGATTGGCACTGGAAACTCAAACTTTAAGATTTGTATTAGACTCGTAAATTTTAAGACTAGTTTTGTCTTGTTCAGGCCAAACTGACCACTGCTTCCGTGAGAGCAGATGATAAAGATCGTGGAACTCTGCATATAACGCGCGGCTTGGGAAACAAAAAACAAAAATCTTGAAAATGAATAAAAAACAAGCCCCAGATCCTACATGGTTTTTGATTCGATCTAAGGCGATGGATGGATATTCGAAAGGTTGGGGGGCTGCCAAGGGTTCAGGAGATTAAAAGATTCCGCAACGAGTGGGCCCTCTTCGTTCGTATTTATCACTTTTGGACCTTTTGAAGGATGAACTCATGAACCATCTCCTGCAGAAAATCAGCAGAACATCATCAGTTTGTGTCTGTGAAACATAATCAGAGATCGGATATAATCTGGAAAGAGGGTGAAACAGTGTTGCTCCTCATAGGAGATATAGTCTTCGCCGGTTTCTCTCACTTATTCGGAGATCGGTATGATCGGAGATTTCAGCAAAACTCGCAGCATTATCCACGTTTATGTTCCCACCACAGGCAGCAACAGCGATGAGCTAGAAGTTGTTTTGTGTTGAACTCGAATTTACATTAGACATCAGGTTTACATGTACGGTCATCACGAGGATTTCACAGGGAAAGCTTCAGGGAAGGATGGAAAGAGGTACAGTGGTTGGTACGGCACTGGCAAGAAGAACGACAAAGGTGATAGATAGTGGCGGGATCCGCATACTGGTTATTGGTAGTGCCTAATTCCTGAGGAATGTTGGAAGTAGATGAACATGGCTTGCACCACACGAAAAAAGAACGAAATCGACCACATCTTAGTCGATGTTTGACGCATTTGCAAAAATCTCCCTTCTTCAGTTTAGGAAGTGACCACCTGATGTTTTGGCAAGTTGAATTGTCTTTTTATGCGTTGAATATCACCGTCGTGCATAGGACGCGCCAGATCCTAAACGGCGATGAGTTGCCTCATTGATTAGGGGAGTTTTTTCATAAGTGGACATAGAGAAGTGAAATGAATTAGCGTCCTTCTTCTTGGCTCCATCAACTTATTAGCAAGTGATGGCACATTAACTGATCGCAGTACTGTGACAGTGCGTTACTTTTGCAGGGAGAAACAGCGGCTTTAGAGGCCGCAGCTGCAGCTGCCTCGGTTGCCTCGTACGTCGAGTCGGCATCTTCAGCGAACGAAGCTGAAATTAATAAAATTGAAATGGTCAGTTCACTTCCTCGTCATCAGCTTTCTCGAACTACTGATTCGAAATTAATGCAACTTTTTGGATGACGCAGTTTGCCTTGGTCCCCGTAATTTTGCGTGAATTGAAGATGGAGTTGGGTGGCGTGCAAGCAATGGCACAGGCGCACTCGTTGGTTTCAACGGCGGTCGGCGGTGTTTCGGGTTCGCAGGTTTCAATGCCAGCGGTGAGTGAGCTGTCCAACGTGAGCAGCGGCTCGATTTCCGATCGTGAACTGCCAGAAACACCCGAGAAGCACACAAAACCGCCG